CAAACTGATCATCATTTTCTGCCCATGTTTCAATAAAAGATACTACATCAAAATTTTTAAAATTTAAAGAACTAATTTTGTTATTCAAACCTTGAACATTCCAAGTTTGAAAACTTACTATGTTTGGGCCAAGGCCACACCCCTAGTTTGTTATGTTTGTCCTGGCGTTTTCTTTTGTGCGTTTCTGTAGCCGTGTTTCTGGACCTTGTAACTCTGTTGTTTTCTTTGTACTATTCATTTCTATCTTCTTATCTATTACAACCAATTTTCCACTCTTGTAATATGCAATTTTACCTTGCTTCTTATAATCCGTAACGGTTTTACGTTGTCGCTTTGTAAGGTCGTTGCCAATGCCGATACCAACCTCCTTAAGTTCCGATCTGGCCGCCAACGCAATCATTTTATCGTCCCAGTGGTGAAACTTTACGATAACAGGACGCGCACTATTTGTTCTACTACCTGGTGCTCGATGTGCTCTAACTATATCACAAATAAAATTTCAGTGGTTTAATTTTGTTTTAATTATAACTGTAGCTTGGAGAGGCTTCTTAAATGCTTACAATGAAACCCCCATGGAGGTCATTCATGGAGGGGTAAATAACGAACGAACATATTTAACATCCGGGTACTTTTCAAAGCTATGGCGTTTTAGTATCCGATCATACTAGTATACGCAATTGTACACATAGACAATCATGCTGCCCAGCATTGTGTACTACTAGTATAAACTCAGCTTTTATATGCACAATGTGCTTTTTAGAAATTGGTTAGAACATTATGCGTTTGAATCACAGTATTGTGACAGTGGAAGCCCAATTGTATTAAAGTACCGTACTTCCCCGATCATGAGCCCCTCCCTGAGTATAAGTCCATCCCTCTATTTTCAGACATTTATCGAGGTGAGGGCATTCGCGATTATAAACCCAGAGTGTTTTTACCGGGCGTCGACGATATTTTTTCGTTTCATTTAATAATAATCGTGATTGGTACGGTAGTTTGGTTCGTGCTGTAATTTCAGAGTGTATAGCGAACGTACACAACGTTCACATCCTTTCTATTTAGTCTTTTACTCAGAATGGACCCCGAAGTTGCAATACTGAAGTTCTCCATATTTCCTTGAGTAGTAGCTTTCGAAAAGCCACAAATGTGATCATCAAGTCGTGTACCTGGTTATTGATCATGGTTTTACTTAATCGTTTACTTTGAGACTATCGTGAAAGGGGTGTGAACGATGTGACCTGTTGGCAACCGTGGACGGTGTTTAAGTACTTCCTCCACACTCAGTTTACCCACGGTTACTATTAACCGTGGTTTACATTTTGGAAATTGCGAATCGCAGTTTTTTTGGGAAAAAATCACCGTTTTCTCGTCGAAGTCATTGCTACAAATCGCATTGCGTTAACAAAATTCATCTTCAATAATCAAAGGAAGTTGTTTCAGGTAAAATCGTGCAGAAAAACTTCATGGTAAAAATTGCGTCGAGAGTTTGCGAACGATCGAAAACATCCCAAAACGAATATAATGATAAAGGTCTTGCCTGCGACTGTTTCCTCACAGACCCTACCCACAGACATTACACCGTAAATTCTGACGGTATGTAATAAAATGTGTGCTTTTTATGAACATGTTCGTTTCTTCATTATAAAAGTGTCGTGGAAATCATTTACGCAATCTTTTCTTCAAAGAGAAGTATATGACGCCGACGATGCCCCTTGTTCGGATGATAGTTTTATTTTAAATTGCGAGGAAGTCTATGAACAATGTGCTTGGTGTACCTGTGACAATCCCCATTGATTTGCCAGTCCAGCCCAGTGAATAAATGGAAGAACATTTTACCCCTATCCTACGAACTCAAGATTGCTTACTCCAACATCCAGACTTGGAAATAATTTGCACGCATCGAGCAGTACTGGAAACAGAATTCATTAGAAACCAGTTGGATAGGAAAAGAAAACAACATGCTTGTCTTGAACATTAGGAAATCCATAATGTTTGCATGTTGATACGCTTGTAAAAAAACATTAACGTAAAAGTCGAAACTCCCTAGGCTGGAAGTTATTTCACCAATCCAGGCATATATGGCTCCCCAAGTTCTTGATATATAATCACAGTGTAAAGCCTGCTTTTCACTAATGAGAGGGCACCTACAGAACTCACACTGGAGAAGGGGTTCTTTCACTGCTAGTATGGGATTGACAAAACAATAGTACTGGAAATGAAATACACATACACCGAAATATCGAGCTAAGTAATACCTCTCAAATTAATTCCTGGAAATAAAGCAAAAAATAAAGTCACTAAAATAGGGGATTGCTTAGGAAAGTGTGCATTGGTGATAACTCACAGTTCCAGGATGTATTAATGGACGACAGTAAATGGCTTCTGCAACCCAACAACGAATAAATAAATAAATACAGAAGTCTTGCTTGAAGAGGAACGCTGTTATTCTGGAGGGCACCGCTGAAAGCAAGAGATCGCAGAGCAGTTCATATTTAGTTCATCTTTAACTAATGAAGTGTAATTTGGTGGAAATCTATATTCTGATAATGAGAACCAGTTGTTTGTAATATACCCCTAAGATACGTCAGTTAGATAATGTAGTCATGTTATGTAAGGAACATTGCGATTAATAAAGTACATGTAGTATTAAATAGAAAACAAGAAGTTGGCTCGTATTTTGTTGCTGTACTATACTTTTTAGGATCTTTTGAACAATTCATGTTATTCTATAAGAAACATTTAAATAACTAAAGTGTATGTGTTATTTGAGAAAAATTGGTAATAATTATTTTTGTGTGTAATTATGACTTATGATAAACTATTATGCTCCCTTTCAAGTTTTACCCAGTATTGTTTGCGCAGAATATTGAGATATATTATTGTATTGTTCCAGGACATTTATACTCATTTTTGCTATGCAAAAACAAATCGTACAATTTGTTTTTAATTCAAATCATCTTTGCACAAGGTTATAATAGTGATAACATTTGATTGAAACGTTATTTCACAAAATATTATCATGCAAATGTTGTTGTTTTTTACTTTAACGCAGTTCATGGAAAATATAGAAAGTGTTAACTACACTCCAAATAAAAATAAGACACCAATTGCAGTTTATGTGCACCTAAACGACTAATGCAAGGCATGACTTCACGCGAATACAAAATAATAAATTAATTTGGTAGTTTTCACATTCCTAGATTTTTTTTAGTATTCTAGCTCAGTAGAATGGGGTACACCCGGTAACTCGTGGATTATCTAAAATGCATTCCAAGGCAGCAAACTTCTGCCACATATGCAATTCACTTATCCTCAGTAATATGCCCACCTTATTGTATTCTGAATTATTTTTTGAAATCAAACGCCAAAATGAGGCTTGAATAGTGTGTGGTAACTTATAGCATGTGTAATATGTGTTACAGTGTAGAAGTCTGCTGCTAAATATTTCTAAAAGTATAATTGAATTTCATGACAATTCCAAGACATCAGTGCAGTTATAGTTTTGGAAGTTAACTATTTACTACTCTCTTATTCATAAAACTAGAATGAAAGAAATTACTAAAACACTCATACACAACCCAATGTATTACCACGCCTGCTATGACAAGATAATGGAAACCGGTGATGTCGATCAACGGAAAAATGACGCCATGACAATCGTTATGAAACTAAAATTAGATAGAACAAAGACATTAAATGTTTTGACTGTCGGGTTTGGAAATGGTAAGCTTTAAATTCTATATCAAATTATTGTTTGTACATTACATGAAAAAAAAGGAATAAATATCATGTACACAGCTGTTGAACCAGTAGCAGACGAACTGAAGAAGTTCGAACAGTTGGTGAAAAATAAAAGAGACCAGTGGCATAAAGTTACATTTGACTTCCGTGCTATTACGATTGAAGAGTATTTGGAAATGAATGAGAGGAAACAATTTGGCATGATTAGTGCTACACATTCAGCATATTATTTCAAAGATCTTGAGGAAACTATAATGAACCTATATGAATGTTTGGTTAAAGGAGGAATATTATTCACCAGGATGGATGACGGTACGTATTTATTATGAAAAGCTGGTATTACTGAACGCAATCCATATACATTAAAAACAAATGATCAGTGTTTTGCTAAGAATGTACACATTCTCTTTGCAGGTGGATTAGAGAAGTTCATTTCCAAAGTCGGAGAATATTACACAGATCAGTTGTGCAACTTCATTGGAACTCATGCCATAGAAGATATCATCAACCGTAGAATACCAAATGTCAGATATGGAAGTATCAAGAGGGAACTATGGTTTAATGTCACTGAATGTTTTGGTGAAGAATCCGAAATAGGATCCTACATTATAAATGTTTTTACAAAAATCTACAACTTTCGCGAAAAAGCAAAACCCAAAATTAAAAAACAAATATTAGATTATATGAGGGATGAATGTTGTAAGAAAGAGGATAGCAGGATTTTGTTTAATACAGATGAAAGAGATTTATTCATTTTCCGTGATTAAAGTTGATCGAATATATCCTTTGTGTAGTCTTAGTAATAACATTGTCATGAACTAGTTTATTATCATTTAGAAAACAAAAACAAAGAAACAATTGGATTATTAGGTTATTAGCAATACTAGTATTATGCAAAGTTGATATCATGAAGATAATATTCTCGAATTAATGTAGAAAGATAAAGGGGTTTGCTTAACATTCAGGTAGCATATATTCATTTAACTTAGTTATAGCATATATTCATTTAACTTAACTTAGTTCAAGAACTTTTCGCTGTACATAGTCTCAGTGATTCGTGATCATGGAATTATTTTGGTTTTCAACTGCCGAATAAATGAATGTAGTTAGCTTGTTATTATTAATCAATATTAGTAATACAATGTAGAACTGGCGTTATGAATATGAAAGTCTTGTTAATAATATCTCAATGATAATAAGCCAAATTTATTTAATTATGGGGACATGTATCAATCGCTTCACTTGTTGACATTGTCTGACGAGGCGAGATATGTAGTACGATGTGACTGGTTCATATGTAAATTTAATAAAGTTGTTCACATGTCAATGCATTTTCAATTCAATTTACAATGTATGTATATATACCAAGCTTTCAGATGCAGTTACTTGTTACAGATACTCGTGAGAGGACTCTATAATTAGGATGTTGAAAAGATTTACCCTATCTTAAGGACACTTTCACTTAAAAATACGGGTCATAGGACATAAAGTTACCTCAGCTTCTCGACACCTGGTGGCAGTAGGTAGTCATGTTCATTGTAATTTAGACAATGAATTCCTAAAAGAACTGAAGAAACTACATGGCTGTTCTACGCGAGGCTTTCATGAGCCATATTGCTGTTGTACATGAGCTGCACTTGCTGTTCTCAACAGTAAACCAGCCGAGAAAGATCGACACACATACTCTGTGTCTACATGTTCTGCAAATCGACATTGAATATCTGAGACTATAGCTTCTATTTCTTTTACTTAATTACTCCACGTGGCGGTATTTATACGCCACATCCACAAATATATCAATGGAATATGGATTGATCTATGTGTATTGATGCACGTTATTTGTTCGACCATCAGAATTAATGTCCGTTTTTTAATGTTCCATTCATCAAGCAAATTTCCGTTTTGTATTATTGTATTTGGTTTCAAATTAGTACATGCATGGGGATTTATAGGAACTAGATGCATATATTTGTTTTTCAGATCAAATTATATTTAAAAAGGTCCGCTGGCGGCCATTTTGTTTGAACGAACGCAGTTTTAGTGCCATATTTCTGACCTACCTTGATCAAGCATGTTTATGTGTCGTATATAAATGTATTTTGTTTAAAATTAGTACATACATGAGGATTTATAGCAACTAGATGCATATCTTTGTTTTTCAGATCAATTATATTCAAAATGGTCGGCTGGCGGCAGTTTTAGTGCCATATTTCTGACCTAACTTGACCAAACATCTTCAAACTTTATATAAACATCATATACGATGTCGTCACAAATATACATCCAAAACACTGATTTGCACCGTACAGTTCAATACAATTATATAATAAAATTCTATATAGATATACGACACAAATTAAGAATATCACATCATAGTAATGATAGATTTTGAATTTCAATTTTGCTATAACGTATTCAAGAGTACCAGAATGCACCTTTACCAAACGATCCGGGATTGGCTGCTCAACATGTTTATATACAGTTGCGTGGATATGTGAAGTAATACATATCCAATTGTATCAAACAAACCCTGTATTGCTCGTGTGTGTGTTTACTGCCATGTGAAAGAATTAAATCATGTGAAGGTCAGAACATTTTGTTTTGATATCGATTGGTAATTGAGTATTACACTTAATTTATGTTTGATATAATAATGATCTTACTGATAGAATACGTCGTGAGTTTCCAGTGAAAATGTCATGTAACAAGAAAACATGTGCTATAACATATTATCGCATGGGACGACTAGTATTATATTCACAAACCTAATCTTACCACATGATGAAATGTATTACAGTATAGACAAATACTATGACACTGGTGTCACGCGAGAACCCGTCTTGCAATTAGGCTTGCAAATTAGAGTACAGGTGTATGTAACGAATACAGGACAAGTATATGTTGTGTTTGATTTTTTTAAAAATTATTTTGTTGTGCATTTGCGTGGTGTGGTTGGAGAACACGTCACTCCGATTCAGAATACCACAGTAGCAGGACTGACTTTTAGTCGTCTGTGAGTAGACTGTATGAGGAAAAACGTGCAAACACGTTACCACGGGGCGCCAAGTCTAAGTATAATCTAGAGCCAGGTTATTGTAGGAAATTAATCCCATTACTTGTGGCGGGAACCATGCAATTTTAAAACAAAACACGTGGCATAACATATAGTAGTTAATAAATAAACGCTGCTCGGACTGATAAATATGATATATATTAGATAATATTTGGCAATCGTTGTCCTTACCAAATATTATCTACTATATGACATATAATCGCATGGGACAACTAGCATTATATTCACAAACCTAATCTTACCACATGATGTAGCAGTGTCAGCTGATAATATGTATTACAGTACAGAAAAATACTACGACACTAGTATACAATGAGGAATAATAAAAAGGAATGTGAAAACACCTTTTGAGCAACGTAACAAGTAAAAATTTGATATCAAACGAAATAAATTACCGAGCAGGGCACATGAAGTGCACTGGGAACAATATTTATCCTATCTGGTGACAGGAAGCTCTGTCAGCAATGGACTGAAATAACAGAACATGTGAGTTTATACCTAAATTGAATAACATTCAATTAGGGAATTGTTACTTCGATGGTTTTATTTGTACAAACATTTATTGTAATGACGAGCATTATGTCAAAAACTCAAATAAACTGTGACTCATAGCCACATCAGTTCAGCTTGCTTTAAATCGAAACAAATAAAAACTCAAATTTCGATATGGCTGCCTAATTTGTTGAAGATGAGATGAGTGCTAACTACAAAGAATTGTGAGATGATTTCAACATGACTGCCGGTGTAATTGTGACAAGTCGAGATAAGATCTAAATATGTATTACAAAATTACTTTATAAGAAATTCTAAATATAGAAGTGAGTTTAAGAAATCATATCACCCTTGTATAAAAACGCATGAAATAACAAACATTGAACAATGCAATAAAAGTTGGCAATTTTACAGAAATAAATGTTGGATTCACATAAACTCTGGATAGGCATATTTTAATGAATAATATTTTAATTTTAATAATCTCATCAATTGTAACACATGTTGACATTTTGCATGCTATTCTTAACGTACTGTTCACATTGCATGGACTCTTACTGTGCCAATATATTCAAATCCATCGCACTGTTGATCCATAATACAAAATGGATCACAATTGCCTGAAAACGTACAATTTATAAGTATAAAGTTAGTAAAAAGACACATTGATTCGAAAGAAGCGATCTACGTGTTTGCAGTATTAGAAAATCATTACGAAAAATTCACTTAGCTAGTATTAACAAAATCAAAATGTGCTTTATTGCTTTCCATCATTCTCGAAATCTGTTATTTGTATATTTATTTGTACACGATCCAATAAAAAAACCTGATATTATTTTTTTGTCTGCCATAATCTGAATAGCCATTTTTATTTTTGTTTAATTAGTTGCAACCTCTTACATCTGAAGTACATCCTGAATAATGATGATGGTTATACCACCAAATTGATTGGCTCCAGCGATACAGCTTTCATTTATCATCAAACAATTCTTTATACTTTATTTTTAAATCATCAATAATCTAAGCATGACCTACAAATAACAAATTGAGTGCGTACAATACATTGATTGATGAAATCCTTGACAAATATTAATTAAGAGTATAATTTTTACCTAGAGTACTTGTAATACTACTGAAAAATAAATGAATAAAGAATAGTATATCATGTAACTATACACGCAAACTGTATATACATACAGTTAACAATGAGCTAAAATTGCGAATTGAAATGATTGAAAAAATAAAAATATTACGCTAATTTATGATACATTCTCTAAGAAACAAATCGGTCTATGCACATTAAAGTACAATCGATTAATATACATTTCCGTAGATCTTAAACACAGCTCTTAAACTAACATCTATAATCTTCCCGTGAGCAAATGAAATTGACACACTGGTATTACTAATATCAAATAATGATGAGCAAATTACATAATAATATTTATTTCCGTTTATTTGACAGTGAAATAAAAATTACTTTATGATCATGCTAAAACTACACGAATATTTTTTTACTAAATACTTTAATCACGAAAGATGAATAAGTCTTTTTCATCTTTACTAAACAAAACCTTGTTTTCTTCTTTCTTACAACATTCATCCCTCATATACTCTAATATTTGTTTCTTGATTTCAGGTTTTGCTATTTCGCGAAAATTATAGATTTGTGTTAAAAAATCTATTATGTGAGATCCGACTTGGGATTCTTCATCAAAACATTCAGTGACATCCAACCATAATTCCCTCTTGATACTTCCATATCTTACAGTTGTTAGTCTACTGTTGATAATATCTTCTATGGCGCGAGTTCCAATACAGTTGTAACCGGGATCTGTGTAGTATTCTCCCACTTTTACAGACAACTTCTCCCATGCACCTACAAAGAATCACACTTAGTTGTTTAAAATGCCTTTTCTGGAATAATTGAAAATCCAAACCCGGAATTATTGTGCTTCGAAAGCGATATGATGATGGTCATTAAACTTTCAAGTTTCCTTTTATTTGATCGGTATTTGGCAATGATTGTGGTAGATAAAATGGCACACTTACCATCATCCATCCTTGTGAATAATATCCCTCCTTTGTCCAGACAGTTATACAGGTCCAATATAGTACATTCAACATCTTTGAAATGATATGCTGAATGTGCAGCAATAATCATGCCAAACTGTTTTCTCTCATTCATTTCCAAATACTCTTCAATCGTAATAGCGCGGAAGTCAAACGTAACATTGTTCCACTGGTCTCCTTTATTTTTCACCAATTGTTCAAACTTCGTCAGTTCGTCTGCGACAGGTTCAACAGCCGTGTATGAGATATTTAGGTAATTGGCCAACAAGTTGTCTATGAATGGCTCGTCACTTTTCCCTGCAATATCACGTATAATATCATCCTAATATGGCAATAACAATAACAACAAAATACAAATCTAATTTTATCGTGGCTCATAATGTATTCTGAAATGTGTTTAGATTAATACTATTCAACAAATATTCTTTTATTGTATAATGTTAGTAAGGTACAAGTAATAATTGGGAATACAAAGTAAGGCTTACCATTTCCACACCCAATAGTCAAAACATTTAATGCCTTTGTTCCATCTAATTTTAGTTTCTTAACGACTGTCATGACGTCATTTTTCCGTTGATCGACATCCACGGTTGCCATCAACGTGTCATAGTAAGCATGGTAATACATTGGGTAGTGGTTGAGTGTTTTTATAACTTCTTTCATTTCTAGTTTAATTAAAAGGAAAAAAAGAGTGAAACTATAACTGAACTATAACTTCACTAATGTATTAATTCATGTTAAATGTGAGGTTAATGCTACTATTACTGTTTTTAGCGGCAGACATTCACACTGTTATACACATTGTACACGCTTTACGCTAGACTAGATTCACTGCAGTCTCCACCACATTTGGAATAGTCGTTAGAAGCTTGAAATATATAATTGCTGCACATCAATCATTATGAGTTTAACGAACATCATAATACATATTCAAAATATGCAAACCTAATTAATATAAGCTGTGCAATCAGGTTTACTCTGTTCACAGGTATCACATGTTTTTCTACAATCGACAAAACATCGATATTTCTGTATATAGTTATTATCAGCCCTTAATCTGTCAATAATTGAGCGATCACTGGCTATTGCACTTGCCTTGCTATGAATATGTAATGTTAAATTTAAGTATGAACTGTATTGTGTAAGAACTTACAGTTACACATAAATCATTTTGCAAAATGCCTATTTTACTCAATATAATAGCAATTGTTGGTAATGGTCACAATTTTTTTGCATGCAATAACTAGACCGCATACTATTCAAATAATGTAACCATTCGATTACTTCCACATTATGTACAGGAGAACAGGACCCTTGCGCTCACATAAGTTTGATTGCCATGACTAGGTAATTGATTGTGTTGTTATGCGATATAGTACGTCACAAAAAACACTTAATATAAATGAATGTGGGAATTTGGATTGAAGGTTATCATGGTTAAAAAAAACATTATTCAGAAGATATGAAAATTTCTGAAAAATGCATGTAACCCAATGTATTGCCATGTATGGAATGCAGCCTGGTGGACATAAAATCAAATAAATCTATAAAGTCAAGCGACTTGATTATCAAAAGAGTTCTGATGTCTATTGGCATTATTACGAAAACGAATAAATCTGACAGAGGTCCGCCAAAAAGACTAATATATCTTGTGGAAGAAATTGGGAAGGTAGATTTTGAAACAGAATTACAAAAATGTTTATAAAAACAATGAACTGAGGAAATCAGAGGTTTATCATACACATTTGATGGTGCCGTTAGAATTAAATCTTCGTATCACAATTTATTAATACGTGCAAAATTAGCAAAGATAAATCAACCGATTCTTGATCTACAGCGTGGACAAATTTAAACGAGTAATGTGTAGAAAATTAATTCTATCAAAATACCAAGGCATACAACCTTCAATTGGTATATTTTGGGAAAAATTAAATCAACAATATGTACATGGTAAATGGTCACCAATATCACGAATTGAAAATTAGCAATTTCACCCACTGAAACATAACCTTACTAAACACTTATCTTTTAAAGAAATTCTGTCTCCCTGACATGATGCAAAATTGCACCAAGGTCCCATTTATAAAACCACATTGCTTTAAACATTCAGATGCAAATATTATGCTAAACGTCATGCAATGATGATATATTTCGACTTTGTATCGCTATGCATCACCACAAACAAATTCGCAGGTAGTATGTTGAACGCTTTTATTATTACAGTCAAATAAAATCACATGCATTGTAATTTCAATAGTGCCACCAAAGCCTAATTGTTATCAACAATGCAGTGATTATTTCTAAAATCTGAAGGATTATCACTCTTAATACCTTCTGTTTGTAGTTTGTTTGTTTGTTCTCTCGTAGCCTGCACGTGACACAATAGTAAACGCATTAAACTTAAGAAGAAAATTATGATAAGATCCAATACAGTTAGGGTTGTTCTATTGTGAGCCAAAACACAGAATGTATGTATATGCAACATCTAATATGTGTGACCAACTCTCCAGCAGTAACATTCACCACTGGAGTCGCATTTGCACATACACAAATAATATTTCTCTCATATCACTTATAATTTACATTGAACATGTCAACATGTTAAAGTTTCATATTAGCTTTCAGACATGCTTTTAATATAATATCACTGAAAATAAGACCAGGTATTGAAAGGGTTAACTACACATGGCGCTCTACACATGTAGTGATGGCCACGTGTTAACACGTGTTTTGTTAATCGCCATTTTCGTTATAATACCTGTAATTCTGTGGGCCTTTTCCGAGACAACTAGGCCCATTTGAAATTGTCAACCCAAGAACATCAACAAATCACTCGATTTCGTCCCATTATTCATGCACATACTAAATAGGGCACTGAGACCAGCCAGTCACAGGAATGGCCTAAACAGGTATTGTCATCAGCTGTTTGGCTGCTGACCACTACATAATATTGTAGGACATAATATTGTTAATCTCCTGTGTGAATACATAGCCAAGTTTATCTTGCAGAATAGTAGATGTTATTATTAGATTTTGTAGACATGAAATGCAACATTGCTAAGTTGAAGTGAGAGTAACTAACTTATATGCGATGATGCTATAATGTCGGTATTCTAATTGTGCAACATCTCAATGGAACATATGGAAATAATGAATTACATAATTATTATATATATTATGAAAGTCGAAATTTGCTCGTCTGACTGAAAGTAAATAATTCACAGAAGCAATAAGGATGAATGTCGGTAGTCAGAGCGTAATGAATGACAGAATTAATATAAGCAGTTTTGAACACCAACGTATTGAACAAAAGACCCGACGTCAATTTTTCGAGTGACAATGAAAAATCATGCATTGTGTACGACACATTCACACATTAGTGTGATTGTTTAATTCCCGCAAAAATATTTTACGATTTTGAATATTAAATGTACATATTTTACCTGCCATACTAACAGTTGTTGTCACGACTGTATACTGAATGATTAAGTCTGTCTATCATGTGTACTGTAAAGTACAGATGTACGCCATTATAGCTGTTGTAATACATGTACGTTGTATATACGTGTGCTTATATTCTGTTCTGATATAATATGTAAAAATCTTCACCTTAAATATTGTTACTTGAACCTGTAGAATGTTACTGAATATCCAGTTAGGTGATCCTCCTGCCAGGTATATGATATATTGAATTTTCTTTCCAATTTAAATCATTGTATAATCCTCTTATTATAAAAATAACATCAAATATTTTTTTACGGGGTATTTTACGGGGTATTTTCGTCCCACCATATTAGGAAATGCTAATTCCAAATATGGAATAATCACACGCATAAGCGTCCTCTAATAATAAAAACAAACATGGCAGCCTCCATGGTATTTAATTTGAAATTTTACTTGCGCGTTTCATTCACGAAAAAGGCACGGACATCTAATGAAACAATAAATTTCTTTGCACAAATATTATTAAAAAATATTTTTTTATTGAATAAAATATGAATCATATCATGTACAAGGTGGCGCCACTAAATTAATTTTGTAGTCTGCCAATATGCAAGTTGCGATGCAGTGTATTCCTAGCAGCATAGTTCCATGAGTTCCGACAACAAATACGTTTATCAAATTATTTCAACAAGTTATTGGCAGAGTCAAATGCATATTGGCTGAGAAGCATGTCATGATGTTCATCTTTCTGAACCTGGTGGTGACGGTGATGGTGACAACGAAATCAATTTCGAATTATTGCCGATCGAAAGCAATGACGACAACTTTGCGGAGCTGCTAAACCAAGCCAGTGACATTGGTAAAGCAAGCACAGACAAGGCCAATTTATCAACAGATTCGGAAATACAACGTTTTGTCACTGATCAAAAAAAAAACACCACCGAAGATTCCTGCAAGGACAGAGAAATGAAACGCGAGAGATACACAAAATACCACCGCAAGTACTCGATAACCACCTGCAACACTTTTTTTTAAAGCCTCGAAGCAAAATGGAGATCTCTATGAACCGGATACATTAACATCTCACCAGAAAAGTATAGACAGGTACCTAAGGGAAAACAACTATCGTTGGTCTATAATTCGAGACATTGAGTTTACCAAATCGCGGGAAGTTCTGTCGGCGAAACAAAAGAGTTTGAAAAAAGAAGGCAAGGGGAATAGGCCAAACAGAGCAGAACCTCTCACTGCCAGCGATGAGTCCGCGCTGTGGAAATGTGGTCAGCTTGGTCTAGATAATGCAAAATCCTTGCTAAACACCGTCTGGCTCAACAACACAAAATGCGTCGGTCTGAGGGGTCGTGATGAGCACCATAAAATGACATGGGGAGATGTGGTATTAAAACGGAATTCCGAAGGGAGAGAGTATCTGGAATATTCCGAGAGAGACACTAAAACACAATCGGGGCAAGTAAACAGTGAACGGCCATTCAAGCCTGTTGCTTTTGCCACACCAGAAAATCCAGAAAGATGTCCAGTCAATGTATACACATTTTTTGTCACATCGCCCGGTAGAAATGACAAGTCTTCAGCGCATTTTATCTTCCTATCGACTACAGTAAACGGCCTTCGGACAAACTGTTGTGTCTGAGCATTAATAGTATAAACATATACCGTACTTTGCATGGCCATATTCCCGCCATCAGTTGGGTTGCTTAGCAACAGATGGAATTCTGGGACAGGGCTGCCATCTTTGTGAGTTCTGTTAGTTATTACACACAAGTAAACCTTGCTTGTATTTCGAACCTGTTGTCTGCGTGTTTATTGGGCCCGACACCACATTGCCCTGATTGCAACTGACCCTGATCCCGTGTCAACTGTGGTAACAATTAACAACCTGCAATTAACCCTGATCTTGTGTCAACTGTGGTAACAATTAACAACCAGCAACTGACCCTGGTCCTTTGTCAACTGTAGTAACTATTAACAACCAGCAACTGACCCTGATCCTGTGTCAACTGTGGTAACTATTAACAACCAGCAACTGACCCTGATCCGGTGTCAACTGTGGCAACTAATAACAACCAGCAACTGACCCTGATCCTGTGTCAACTGTGGTAACTATTAACAACCAACAACTGACCCTGATCCTATGTCAACTGTGGTAACTATTAACAACCATCAACTGACCCTGATCCGGTGTCAACTGTGGCAACTATTAACAACCAGCAACTGACCCTGATCCCGTGTCAACTGTGGTAAAAATTAACAACCATCAACTGACTCTGATCCTGTGTCAACTGTGGTAACTATTAACAACCTGCAATTGACCCTGATCTTGTGTCAACTGTGGTAACTATTAACAACCTGCAATTGACCCTGATCTTGTGTCACTGTGGTAACTATTAACAACCTGCATATACTCTGATCCGGTGTCACTGTGGTACATTACACCATCACTGACCCTGATCCTGTGTCAACTGTGGTAACTATTAACAACCTGCAATTGACCCT